TTTAATATTATTACCTGTTATTAAAAGTATTTACATATAAATAAAAAATAACTTAGAACAAAATAAAATTGTTTTAAATTAATACTTATTTTGATTATTAATATGTTTAAAAAAGAAAAATGACATATTTAAACTTACAAAGTAAAATTATTTAATTTTGTAGTTGAAACCTATCATAACAAATTATCATATCAAACTTGATTCGTCAATAAATACTTTGAAAACATTAGAAATTAATGATTTTAATTGTCTGTATAGAAAACATGAGACAAGTAACTGTTTATTTGATAGATTAGAATTTGTTTTCAATTTTAGAGGGTAGTATCTTCAACTAATTGAAATCATTTGACGTATTGTTGAAAAATGTAGGTTAAGTTAGAGCAGAGAAAATAAATGATGATCACAAAAAAATACCTTCTTAGATTTGCATCGAAGCTAAAACCTAAAATATAGTCAAATAATTTTAATATGAAGAAGAAATTTCTTCTCGCAAGGGGCGACTACAATGATGGGATCCTTGATTTTAATTGAAACTATTGAATCTAAATGAGATAAAAATCAAACGAGTTGAAAATTTATTCTAACTTAAAAATAATTAATAAAAAATTGCAAAAAATTCCTTGCCAGAGGCGGGTTGAAACCTTGTACTTCAAGCGCGTAAAACACACGTTTAACCGACTCGGCAACCGTACGCCGTAATCGTTGGCTGAAAAAATTGGCTATTTAAGCTAGTTCAAATTTCAAAATTATTTTTCTTGACTTCAAAAAGTATAAAAATTTAATTAAGTTTAACTTTCTATAAAATATTTATGAATATCATACTCCCCTTGTCATGTATTTTAAAATAAAATAAAATACAAATCCCAGAATTTATACACAAAAATAGCAAATTTTATAATATGGTAGTCATTTTCACCATGAAGACAAATCCAGAGGTCAAATTTTTTTTTTCAAATTAAAGTATATTACATAAGCTTTAATTTAAGTTATATATAAAAGTGTCAGTATTTCTGGAACACTTTCAAAAACTAAATCTAAAATGTCCTAGTTTCTATACGCATTTTAAAAGGTTTGCACCGTCCTGTATTTAGGGAAATGGCCCGATTTAAAAAAAAAGTATGTCGAATGAAAGAGGTATATATAAAGTATGTAAAAATTGTTTGGAGGATTTCCCCCGTTTACGAGGTACGAGGGAATTTTTTTCAAAATTTGAGGGTAATGTCTTCGACTAGATAAGATTTGTGATCTTTTGACGTATCATTGAAGGAAATCAGTTCGTTGAGAGCTGAGAAAAAGTGGTAACAGACACAAAATAAAAATATATATAAAAAATAAAAAAAAACACATCATAGTAAAAATAATACCTTCTAGAATCAAAGCTAAAATTAAAATATAATAAAAAGTTTCAAACATATTCAAATTCAAGTTTATAATCGTATATACTAGTATTTTGTAATTCAATAGAAAACTTAAAATGTTGATATAATACAATAGATTTTGTTATTATTTCCAAAATAACTTTCTCAATTACACGTCGAAATTCAAGTTAATTCATTTTAAAAATAATGTCATAATAACCAACTTATATGAATAAAACTAAAATAGTTATGTTTCAACAAAAAATTAATTAAGACATTTATTTAAGATAGCATAGTTGAATATACTTATATATTTATTTTGAAAAGCTACATAAATGGTTCCTATGCTCCAAGGGCAATTATTTTCATGTGCAAATTTTATGCAATCAAATTGACCATTTGCAGCAGCAAGTCTTGTTGTCCCTTCGTCCCACACACATCCATTAAAATAACTATATTTTAGGCAGTCTAAATGACCATTTGCAGCAGCTCCACTCATTGTCCCTTCATCCCATTTACATCCATTTCTATGTGCATACTTCAAACAGTCAATATGACCACTAGCAGCAGCTTCCCTTGTTGTGCCTTCGTCCCATTCACAACCATTTTCATGGGCATATTTAATGCAGTCTAAATGTCCATTCGCTGCAGCCAATCTCATTGTACCTTCAACCCAATCACATCCATGTGTACGGGCGTATTTCAGACAATCTAAATTACCATGCACAGCTGCTGCAGCTAACGTATGTTTATCCCAATTACATCCTTTTTCGTGAGCATATATTAAGCAGTCTAAACCGCCACTCGCTGCAGCAGCTCTAGTTGTAGATTCATCCCACGGACACCCATTTTCATGAGCATATTTTAAACACTCTAACTTATTGTTTTGTGCAGCCGCTCTTATCGTAGTTTTATTCCAAAAACATCCGTTTTCATGAGCAAACATTAAACATATTAAATTACCATTAGAAGCAGCTGCTTCTGTTGTGTTTTCATCCCAAGGATATCCATTTTCATGAGCATATTTTAAACAATCGATTTTACCATTAGAAGCAGCCACTTCTGTCGTCCATTCATACATTGGACATCCATTTTCATGAACATATTTTAAACAATCTAATGCACCACTAGAAGCAGCTGCTCCTATTGTGTTTGCATTCCAAGGACATTTATTTTCATGGGCATATTTTAAACATTCTAATCTACCATAATAAGCAGCCACTCCTGTTGTGACTTCATCCCACGGACATTTATTTTCATGAGCATACTTTAAACATTCTAATTTACCATTAGAAGCAGCTGCTTCTGATATGCTTTCATTCCACGGACATCCATTTTCATGAGCATATTTTAAACATTCTAATTCTCCATTTGAAGCAGCCACTCTTGTTATTCTAATATCCCATGGACATTTATTTTCATGAGCATATTTTAAACATTCTAATTCACCATTAGAAGCAGCTGCTTCTGTTGTGCTTTCATCCCACGGACATCCATTTTCATGGGCATATATTAAGCATTCTAATTTACCATAAAATGCTGCTAATTTTGTTGTGGTTTTATCCCACGGACATTTATTTTTATGGGCATATTTTAAGCATTCTAATTCACCACTACAAGCAGCTGATTTTGTTGTGTTTTCATCCCACGGACATCCATTTTCATGAGCATATTTTAAACAGTCTAATTCACCATAAAAAGCAGCTCCTTCTGTTGTGCTTTCATCCCACGGACATCGATTTTCATGTGCATATATTAAACAATCGATTTTACCATTAGAAGCAGCCTCTTCTGTTGTGCGTTCATCCCATGGACATCCATTTTCATGAGCATATTTTAAACATTCCAAATGACCATCCGTAACAGCTTCAATAGGTATATTCTCATCCCACGGACATTTATTTTCATGGGCATATTTTAAACATTCTAATTTACCATTAGAAGCAGCTGCTTTTGTTGTGCTTTTATCCCACGGACATCCATTTACATAAGCATATATTAAGCATTCCAAATTACCAAATTCTGCAGCTGCTTCTGTCGTGCTCTCATCCCACGGACATTCATTTATATGTAAATATTTTAAGATTTCTAAATATCCTTTAGTAGCAGCAGCCTTTGTTGTTTCTTCGTTCCATTCACATCCATTTTCATGAGCAAATATTAAAAATTCCAAGTTTCCATTTTCGGCAGCTACTGTAGCAATACTTTTTTCAGATTGGCACATTTCATTTTCATCTGAATATTGAATGGCTATATGAAAACAATTGTTTATTCTTTTATCAAAATGTTTATTCTTTAAATAAAAAAAATTTAACAATCTAGATTATTAATTAAGTATATCTAATTAATAAAAATATTTGAATTAATATATTCATTCATAAAGTTATAAATATTGTCATTAATTTTCTAAAAAGAAAAATAATCCTATACAAAGCCATGCTACAACCAATCTGGGCATTCGGAATTGTGATTTTAGGATTTGCTAATTCTTCGTCCATCTACGTAATATATTGTGTAATATACACACGATTTTATGATATATCAGTTAATAGTTACTTTTAAAATCACGTTTTCCGAGAAGAGATTTATAAATTATATTTGTCATCTTTTTTAATTATAATTATAGTTTTTTAACGCATTGTGTGAACTCTAATCTTACATGTAAAAAACTAAGTTAATATTTTTTAAAATGACAAAATGATTTGTGTAGTATTCATCTGACATACTTTCTATGTTTTTTGCTTATTTATAAATAACAGTATTATTGTAAGAATGAGACAATGATGATTTTAAGGAAACAAAGTATTATAAAAAGACAGAGCAAACCCTTACTCTGACCTGTTCTTATCGTGCAATAGACAGTATAAACGAACATTGTAATTTTCATTGTTGAATTTTTTACGTATTAAAATTGTTAACTAAATCGAATTGTGTCATTATATTTATGAGTTATTAATTAATAACATTACTTAAGATATTTTAAGAACTAAGAAAAATTATGAAATCTATGAGAGCCAATATTTATATTATTTTACGTCCTATTAATGACACCCCCAATTTAAATAACTTTACCAACTTCCCTTTATTTTATTACATTTTGAGTTACGATAGTATAGTATTTTACAGTATCTCATTATAAATACAATTTATACTAAAATATTTTATAATAATAATATTATAACTAAATTAATTAAATTATTCAATAATAAATCTGAATTAATAATTTATTTATGTACATTTTTATAAAAATAATAATGATTATAAAATAATAGCAAATTTTATAAATTATATAAATCGCTATTAAATAATTTTTATCGATATTATTTCACACACAATTGACGTCACTTTTCTTTAAATACATATTTAGGATCAAAAAAATAAACTAATAACAATTTGTCATCTTAAGAAACACTTGTAAATTGACTTTTGTTAACTTTTACTCAAACATATTTTTATTTATAAAAAACAATATTTACAATGTTATAATAACTTTATAAAGTTTTAACGTAATATTATAACTCGCTAACTGCCTGTTTTAAATTTATATTTTTAGATGACGTTAAAGTAGATTTATTGAAATAAATTTTACTTAAATATTACGAATAAAAATATATTTGAATAAATTAAATTATTTTTATTCAAATAAAAATACGTATTTAAGTCAAAAGATTTATTGTGTGTTTCGCAAACACCAATTAAAATGAAAATTGAAATTGTATAGTAATAACTAGTATTCGTCAACAGTATATTTTTGCATAACAATATTTTACTGAAGTTTGCAATATTATATCGCAATATTAAAGTAAAAATATTTTAAACAATCTAATGCACCACTAGAAAGAGCTGCTCCTGTTGTGTTTCCATTCCAAAGACATCTATTTTCATGGGCATATTTTAAACACTCTAACTTAAAGTTTTGTGCAGCCGCTCTTATCGTAGTTTTATTCCAAAAGCATCCATTTTTCACGAGCATACATTAAACGGGACACGAGGGAATTTTTTTCAAACTTTGAGAGTAATGTCTTCGACTAGATACGATTCGTGATCTTTTGACATATTTTTTATTAAAATCGGTCCAGCGAGAGCTGAGATTGAGCGTTCATAAACACAAAAAAAAACACATCATAGTAAAATTAATACCTTCTCAGCTTCTCATCGAAGCTAAAATATATAAATAATAGCTATATCTCGTAACTATATACAAATGTTTTTAAATTACTTTTAGTATGAATAAATGGGTGTTTTTTCGTTACAAGACTATTATTATATATTGATTATTTTAAATGGATGAAATTGTTCTTTAATGAATAATATGTTGTTATAATAATAATAATAATGAGTTATGTGGTAGTCACCCTGATTGCCGTGATGTGATCAGGTGACCGTCTATGCTTAGTTAATAGTATTGCCTATGTGGCGATTAGCGGTAGATGTTTGTTAGAGTTTTAAAGTAATTTTATAAATATCTTGTAATTATGAATAAAGTATAAGGTGTTTATAATCGAGTTTAGTTATTTGATGCGCTAAAACTAAGTTAATAATTTCAGTGTTTTTTTGGTTACGTATCTTTATATTTGATAAAGGGAAAATTTGTTCAATTTTTGAGGATAATATCTTTAACTAGATACTGGTTATAACTATTTGACGTATTATTCATAAAACTAAATCAGAAAAGGACTGAGAAATATGAATGACAGACTTAAAAAAAATCTACCTAGTATAATAACTTTAATATGAATCAAAATTTCCTTCTCACAATATAATTCTACAGTGATAGTATCCTTAATATTCGTTAAAGTTATTCAATCTAAATGAGATAAAAATAAAAAGAGGTTTAAATTTTTTTTCAACTCAAATAAAATAAAAGAAAAAAATGCTTAAGTTGTTATAATGACGGGATGTATTCGAAACAGGCACACCGAGTGTGATAGACTGTAGTGATATGGTTGCGACAACCGTAGATAACATTTTATAATATTGATATTAAACATTTAATGATATTGAATTATTTTGGAGGGGACTCTGTTACCTTTTTTTTATGATTTTGAAAAATGTATAAAATTAAAATAAGAATTTGAATTAATAAGTAATATGTTTTTTTAACTGTTTTCTATTTTGAATCACCCCTATAGAAGGGTAAAGAGTAGGAATATTATACCTATTTTATTTATTAAAAAAATTACTTATTTAACAAAAAGTTTAAAAAAGACGTAATTCATCTATATTAATAATTAACATTTTTTTACATTAAAAGGCAACAAGAAAATTTTTTTCAATTTTAAAGTATATCACTTCTAAGTCTTCAATTAGATACAATTTGTGGTTATTATAAGTATCATTGAAAGAAATCGGTCCATTAAGAGCTAAGAAAGAGAATAGACGGACACAAAGAAAAAACACATCGTATAAAATTAATATCTCCTAAGTTTCGAATTCGAAACTAATAAACATAAATTGCGGTAATATTGCATTAAGTAAGAAAAGGAGATAGTAAAATGTTTTAAATAAAAAAAAAAATTTTTTTTATCGCTTTAATAATGAAACATCGATAAAAATAAAATTTGAACGAACAAACACAAAAATATACTTCATAATAAAATTAAATAAATTGACAAACTAAGATAACATGATTAAATAAATTATAATAATTAATGATTGACATCAATTAATAGTTTTCTCAATTTATTTTATAATTTGTTTCTAAATCTTTCATAATTTAAAACTATAGAAGAACTTCGTAAATTTTACCTACAAATATTGAAACTATAGAAAATCAAAATTGTATAGACTAAGGTATAAAAAAAATACATATAAAAATTGTATAAATAATGTAAAATAAGTTTTACCTTCATTGAAAATCACACAAGTTATTATCAACAAAAGCGATATCAATATCCAAAACTAGAATATAATATTATAATTTTTAGGGTTTCAATTGATAACCTCAGATAATGTTTATTACTCACCTTCATTTTTATTCTTAATGATCAGTGTTAAATTTTGAATAGCTATTAGCAATTTTTTAATTGCATGAATATATGCACTTATATAAAAGAAACTACTAACGTAATTTATTCCTACTTCTATATTTTTAAATATAAAAATAGTACTTAAAGTAAATATTAAAGTATATAAAATAACTATTTTTAGTCAAACTATGCATATACGTGTAAGAAACAATAGTCATATAACTTGGATGAACACTTGATATAATAAAAAATACAAATTATTATTACAAATACAATTTTATATTTATATTTTATCATTAAAAGCAATACCTTCTAAGATACACATCAAAATTCAAGTGAATTTATTTTTAAAATAATGACATAATAACTTAATTAAATTAAAAAAAAAAAATAATTATATTTCAACAGAAAATTAATTGAGGCAGCCATTTTCGGTAGCATAGTTTATTATACTTATATAACCTTTTTGAGTAGCTTCATAAATAGTATTTCTACTCCATGGACAATAATTTTCATGGGCAAATTTTATGCATTTAAATTGACCATTTACAGCAGCAAGTCTTGTTGTCCCTTCGTCCCACACACATCCATTAAAATAACTATATTTTAGGCAGACTAAATGACCATTTGCAGCAGCTCCACTCATTGTCCCTTCATCCCATTTACATCCATTTCTATGTGCATACTTCAAACAGTCAATATGACCACTAGCAGCAGCTTCCCTTGTTGTGCCTTCGTCCCATTCACAACCATTTTCATGGGCATATTTAATGCAGTCTAAATGTCCATTCGCTGCAGCCAATCTCATTGTACCTTCAACCCAATCACATCCATGAGTACGGGCGTATTTTAAACAATCTAAATTACCATGCACAGCTGCTGCAGCTAACGTATGTTTATCCCAATTACATCCTTTTTCGTGAGCATATATTAAGCAGTCTATACCGCCACTCGCTGCAGCAGCTCTAGTTGTAGATTCATCCCACGGACACCCATTTTCATGAGCATATTTTAAACACTCTAACTTATTGTTTTGTGCAGCCGCTCTTATCGTAGTTTTATTCCAAAAACATCCGTTTTCATGAGCAAACATTAAACATATTAAATTACCATTAGAAGCAGCTGCTTCTGTTGTGATTTCATCCCAAGGACATCTATTTTTATGTAAATATTTTAAAATTTCTAGATTACCATTTAAAGAAGCCATATTAATCGCATCTTTATTCAATTCACATGCGTCTTTATTCATATTTTCGTGAATATATTTTAACATTTCTAGATGACCTTTTTCAATAGCATTTAATACAAAATAGTTTTGATCCCACTGAGTTGTGTCTTCATTCCACGGGCATCCATTTTCATGAGCATATTTTAAACATTCAAAATTACCATTCATAGCAGCTTCCAGAGTCGTATATTCATTCCATTTACAGCCATTTCCATGGGCATATTTTAAGCATTCCAAATGACCATTTTGTGCAGCTACTTCTGTGGTCCTTTCATCCCATGGACATTTATTTTCGTGAGCATATTTTAGACATTCTAATTTACCATATATAGCAGCTGCTTCTGGTGTCCTTTTATTCCAAGGACATTTATGTTCATGGGCATATTTTAAACATTCTAATCTACCATATAAAGCAGCTGCTCTTGTTGTCCTTTCATCCCACGGACATCCATTTTCATGAGCATACTTTAAACAATCTAATTTATCATTAGAGGCAGCTGCTTCTGTTGTACTTTCATTCCAAGGACATTCATTTTTATGTAAATATTTAAAAATTTCTAGATTACCATTTAAAGCAGCAATAGTAGTAGCGTCTTTAATTAATTCACATAAATTTTCGTGGGCATATTTTAATATTTCTAGATTACCTGTTTGAATAGCAATGAATACAATATTGAATTGATTCCATTTACAGCCATTTTCATGAGCATACTTTAAACAATCTAATTTACCATTAGAAGCAGCTGCTTTTGTTGTGCTTTCATCCCACGGACATTTGTTTTCATGAGCATATTTTAAACATTCTAATTTACCATTAGAAGCAGCTGCTTTTGTTGTTCTTTTATCCCACGGACATCCATTTATATGGGCATATTTTAAGCATTCCAAATTACCATATTGTGCAGCTGCTTCGGCCGTGCTTTCATCCCACGGACATTCATTTATATGAGCATATTTTAAGCATTCCAAATTACCATATTGTGCAGCTGCTTCGGTCGTGCTTTCATCCCACGGACATTCATTTTTATGTAAATATTTTAAGATTTCTAAATGTCCGTTAACAGCTGCAGCCTTTGTATTTTTTGTGTTCCATTTATATCCTTTTTCATGAGCTTTTATTAATAATTCCAAAATTCCATTTTCAACAGCTTTTCTTTTGGTACCTTTATTATATTGGTATATTTCATCGTTACCTGAATATTGAATCGTTAAAAAAAAATTTAATAGTCAATATTATTAAATAAGTATACCTAATTAAGTAAAAGGTAGTTCAATTAAAAATTTCATTCATAAAGTTATAAAATTAAAATTATTATATATGTTAAACTCCAATATTATTCATTTTATTCTTACGCAAAATTTAGTCAAGCCCACATTTTTTTAATAATAATAAACATGTTTTTTTCGATATATTAAAATTTATTTATGCTATTAAAAAAAAAAAACCCAGCACAGTAGGGTCNAAATAGATATCATTAAATAGAAAAAAATGAAATTGGTAGAGTATTTCAAAAACAACAATAACACTTATTTCCTTAATTTTACCCCGATTTATAATTATAATATATGAATACATAATAATTACAGTAATTAAATTGAGTATGAAAGTGGTATTCAATAATATAATATTGTAATTTT